GCCTCTGTAGTTTTCACACTTGCTGAGATCGCCTTTCTTTGGTATTTTGATGAGGTATCCTTCTTTCCAATCTGATGGTACTTGTTCCTCATCCCAAATCTTCTTGAAGAGAATGTGAAATATTTTCGCAGTTGCTTCCACATCTGCTTTCATTGCCTCTGCTGGAATGTTGTCTGGTCCTGCTGCTTTGCCGCTCTTGATTTGTCTGATGGCTATACTGATCTCCTCAATCGTAGGTGCGCCAATATTAATTGGGAGGTCCGTGGATGCTGCTTCGATGTTGGGTGGGTTCAGTGGAGCTGGTCGATTCAATAGTTCCTTAAAGTGCTCCACCCACCTATTTCGCTGTTCGTCAGTGTTGCTGATTATTTTCCCTTCCTTGCTTTTCACTGGTCGTTCTGGTTTACGATAGTTTCCGGCGAGCTTCTTTGTAGTTTCGTACAATTGTCTCAAGTTTCCTTCTCTTGCAGCCTTTTCCGCCGTCATTGCTAGATAATCCACATATTTTCGTTTGTCAGCTCTGATGCTCTTCTTCACTTCCCTGTTTGCTTCTGTATACTCGGCTTGCGCCTTAACTTTCTCTGCTCTTGTTCGGCTGACATTGATAGCTGCCTTCTTGTTCCTCCTTTCTTGAATTTTTTCAAGAGTACCAACAGAGATCCATTCCTTGTGATGGTGCTTCTTGCGACCAAGGACCTCCTGACATGTTGAAGTGATTGCCTCCTTAATCCCTTTCCAATTGTTCTCCAATGTTGCTTCCTCTCCATTGAGCAGATCCTGAAAGGCCTGGAACCTATTGGTGAGGGCTATCTTGAATTCGTTGAGTTTTACGGTATCCCGAAGAAAGGCCGTATTAAACTTCTGTGATGTTGTCTGCCCCGTTGTCCAGTGCTTCTTTAGCTTCAATCTCATTTTGGCGATCAGCAAATGGTGATCTGAAGCTATATCAGCTCCTCTCTTGGTTCTCACATCCTCCATGGTCCTTCTGAACTTTTTGTTGATACAGATATGGTCAATTTGGTTTTGAGTAGTGTGGTCCGGTGAAATCCATGTGGCTTTGTGAATGCGTTTGTGCGGGAATATTGTGCCACCGATGACCAGTTTGTTGAAGGCACATAGGTTTGCAAATCTCTCACCGTTTTCGTTCCTTTCTCCCAGTCCATGTCGTCCCATGATGTCTTCATATCCAGTATTGTCCATTCCAACCTTGGCATTCAGGTCTCCCATAAGAATCGTCAAATCCTTTGGTGAACATTTATCGACGAATGACTGCAGCCTTTCGTAGAATTGATCTTTAACGTCGTCATTGTAGTCATTGGTAGGTGCATAACATTGGATGACGTTCATTGTAATGTCCTGTTTCTTTGTTTTGAAGGATGCTTTAATGATACTGGGTCCATGAGATTCCCATCCTATCAGTGACTTTTGTGCATGTTTGGACAGCATCAGTGCAACTCCTTGTGTATGTGAAGCGTTTTCCTCTTCATGACCAGAGTATAACAGCAGTTCCCCTGAAGCAAGTCTCAGTTGTCCTACCTGTGTCCAATGTGTTTCACTGATGCCGAGCACCTCGAGGTTGTATCTTTTCATTTCTGCCGCAACTTGAAATAGTCTTCCAGTCTCCCACAATGTACGAACGTTCCATGTACCTAAAAAAATGGTTGCTCTGGTTGTCAGAAGAGGCATCGGCCCCGTGACTTCCGAGGGGACTCGGCTTTCATCACGAGACGTCATAATTCTTCTTCCAACTCCCAGGGCAGAGTTAAAATGGTTTGAATTATTTTTTCTGGTTAGCGTTTTTTTGGCAAGTTAGATTTCAACGGAATGGGGCCGCCAACCCCATGTCCAACCCTCCTCCTTTATCCGGGCTTGGGACCGGCAGTAGCCCCTAAGGTTCTACTGGCGGAGTTAAATCCAATAGTAGAAGAGGTAATAAAGGTATTAAAAGTAATCGAAGAGGTTAGGATCAGAATATATTCAAGAAATATGATTCAGTGAGAAAAGTTTACAAAGTCAAAACTAGAGGGGTTGAAGAATCCGGAAGATTAGGATTTGAGAGAACACAAAGAATAAATGCACATGTGCCACTACGAACAGTTTTGACCAATGTTGTTCAAGGTCTCTAACCATCAATTATTATTATCGTCTCGCAGACCCCAGTCAGGTAGTCGACAATTACCGACATGGCTAAGTCCACTTGTTAGTGACTTCATGGATTTCTGCCATGTTTTGGTCTGTCCGCCCCTAACTTTCTTCCAACCTACTCAATACTTCGTTTATTGACCTGCCATCCTTACCTAGCACCCGTTTCCTTATAACAGCATTACCTACTCGTTTGTCCCATGATACGCGAGCAATGCTTCGGAGACACATATGAGCAGTACACTCGTACTTTGGTTAGCAAACGGATATCTCACCTGCGACATAAGTGACGCAAGTTGGCAAAAGCCAGTAGATCCTGTATCCGTGCTGAGATTTCGTCAGTCACCAGGCTATCGGCACTGATGAGACTCCCCAGATAAATGAAGCGATCAACACGTTCGACTACTTCACTCCCTATCACTAGTTCAGGTGTCGATGCAACCCAATCTTGAAGCAACATTTTGCATTTCGAGGGTGAGAACCGCATCCCGAACATGCTTACACAGTTGCTTATGGTGGTCAGAAGACTGCATTTCGTCAGCGTCTTCACCGAACAGAACTATGTCATCGGCATATTCTAAGTCAACAAGCGATTTTCCTGGTAGAAGGTCCTCTTCTGAAAGTCCTGACGAAGATAATCTTATATCTAGTAGCATGTCTATGACAAAATTGAACAAGAATGGGGAGAGTGGATATCCCTAACGGACACCACTTGATGTGGAGAATTCAGATGACAGTTCGCCATAAGCTCTCACTTGACCTGTAGTGTTCGAGTAGAGAACTTGTATAAGGTTAGTGTACTTTCAATGACAAACATTGCCACAGAACGTCACGATCGACAGAGTCAAATGCCGCCTTTAGGTCCATAAAGAGAACTCAGACTCACTGTAAAACTTGGCTTAGTTCGAGTTTAATATCTAGGTAAAGATAAATACTGGGTATATCTGCACTACTGTACTAGTTTGTGCTTACACACCACATGAAACCGAAATCCTGTGACAGTATTTTCAAAATAAATTCAGGAATGTAAGTTTATCACTGTTAGCTGCTTGTGGTGTTATATGCAAGCTGAATTGTTGTTTTTTGGTGGGAATTTCGCATTTTGGGGATGGTTAAAAATCATAAAGTGTTACAGTCCACTATACTGACTATCCAAGTGGTTACCTTTACACAAATACTTCAACCTCATGCTAATTATTCATTCAAATGATAACGAGTAAATGAATGATTTCACAACACTAAGTGCTGAGTGCTAAGATATTTGAAATGGGAGCGTATCCGCAAGTGATAACGATGTATCTCTTATTGTTTAAACCGCTCACTATTAAAACTATTACGAATGAGGATGATGGATAATTATGAGTTCCTGTTAGGATACAATTCAGTTTTCACTAGTTTAAGTATTCTAATGAGAAGAATAGTGACCTAGTTATGTTTTTTTATTGGTTAAAATGAATATTCCTATAGGAGAGAATGTAAAAGATTTAAATACTGAGAACTAAATGATTTCAACAGGAAATTATCGTAATGAAATGTAGTTACAATTTTCTTAGCAATAATTATTGGTTACTGTGTAGTGAAGACGAACACAGGTGAGGGCAACCGAATTGTATTTAACGAAAATTACAGAGTTACTCAGTAAAATAAGAAAACCATATCGTAAACGGTTAATTTGCAAATCTTCAATCAATCCATTGTCTGACATTTCACTTATTCATGCGTTTCATACAAACTCCCATTGTGTTCCCACTCTTCTTCCTTTCTTGATCTTCCCCCATCTTCTACTGCCAGACATTACGTTTACACTCACGTCATATACTACTTATAAGTAGCGCGCACCACAATTGAAAATAACTAATCAACTTGTAGAGCAACCTGTCGCTGTTTTAATTTTTTTTTAGAAAGACATTTCATGAAGGCTCTGTCATTTAATCCAGTAACACTTGCTACTGATTTTTTAGTAAGAAGCTTATCTAAGAATGAACTACTTTCTTATTGTCTGAACAACTAAACAGTTTGTGAATACGATACGATACGAAAAGTCAGTCAGGTGCAACGTAGAACTTCGTACGTAAGTACATCAGTTCATGTCGCTATACCAATTCAGCACAGAGATGTAATTGTCAATTCAAATCCAATAGTAGAAGAGGTAGTAAAGGTATTAGAAGTAATCGAAGAGGTTAGGATCAGAATATATTCAAGAAATATGATTCAGTGAGAAAAGTTTAAAAAGTCAAAACTAGAGGGGTTGAAGAATCCAGAAGATTGTGATTTGAGAGAACACAAAGAATAAATGCACCTGCACCATTGCCAACGATTTTGAGCCATGTCATTCAAGGTCTCTAACCATCGATTATTGTCATCTCGCGGACCCCAACCAGGTAGTCGACAATTACCGACATGACTCAGTCCACTCGTCAGTGACTTGATGGATTTCTGCCATGTTTTGGTTTGGCCGCCTCTAACTTTCTTCCAACCTATTCCAACACTACAAAACAAAGGTTATCGAGACAGTAGGTGGTTAGGCATACGCAGCACACGTCCCAACCACCTCAACTGATGAAGTTTCACCACTTCATCTATTGATCTGTCATTCTTACCTAGCATCCGATTCCTAATAATAGCATTGCTCACTCGGGTGTGCAACGATACGAAAAAGCTACTCTTCGTGTGAAAATCCATTGTTATAGGTCAACTAATCCGTTATTATTAGGCCACATTATATACTATATGATTACATACCTCCCTATCCATATAATCCAGGTGTGAATTGATGTTGAAATTCCATTCAACTTATTATTATGATTTTTTTTCTAAGCCTCAATAATAATAATAATTCAACTTGGTTTTTACAAAACTTATTATTCATTTATGATAACAATTTATTTAAAGTAACTGGCCATACTTCTTTCTTTAGGGACCACAACCAGCTTTTAGTGCAATGACAAAAACTACTAACCTACTAACCTTCTAAGTTCTCGGGAGATGAATACACTTCATTAAATTTAACTAAATAATAAAAACTGATATCAATCATACAAATAGTTATCGCGGTCAGATTAGGTTAAAACAATTTGTTTGTTAATGCCACAAGAATAGTAATTACTATTAATTCTGTGTAGATTTTCATATATATGTATATAAATATTAATTAAAGGTCAAATTAACTAAATCAATCGATACAATAAGAGAATGATATTACAATATATAAAATTTATCAAAGAATCATATTAGTGTCAGTGTTTTTTCTCATAGAGAAGTAATCAAAAAAAATTTTGGAGGACAAGATTTTCTTTTTTTAAAAAAAAGAGTAGAAAATAATCAAAAATTTTTCTTCAAATCTAAGAAATAGGATCATTTACAAAATGACTAAGAATTGGTTGTCTATCCGGATGACTAGTGGTATTAGTAGTAGTAGTACTGCGTCGACGTAAAACAATCACTAATATTATGCCTACAATAATTGAACTAATAATAATCAACATGGAGAATATAATTAAACTGATCAACAATGATGAGAGATTATCTGTTGGTGGATTGCCTAAACCAAATGATGCAGTCCTTTTGGGGGAGGAAAATAATAAGAAAAAAAGTACAGTGGTTAATTGATAACAACAATAGGATAAATGTAAAACTTTAAAAAATTAAAATATATAAGATTTATTTAATGTGAGTAGTACACGACAAGAACCATATCGTATCAGGTACTTGATTAAGAACAGTATGACAAAACATTTCTGCTTTTTAATGTCTCTAGATACACAGAGATGAGGCCGCCACCACCACCCTTTTTAGATCCTTAGTCACCACGAAAGAGTTCATAAGAGGTCTATTAGAAGGTATAAGTCAGGGATATCGGAGAAAAACCCGGCTTTCAGTAATCATGACAATGGAAGGATTGTTTAGAATTTTACTAGAGAGCGTAAGTGAGTAATCTTATTGATAACAGATCGGGAATTAATTAGCATTAGTGTTACATAGGATGAATACTCAACTTTCAGAGATGTACGATGGGCATCTGGAGGGTTGTGTGTTCTGAAGAAGGGCTAGAAGTAGGAATATAGGCTTGATTGTTATGGTCAGTTAATTTATGAGCGAGAGGGAGAAAGGTATTCAGAGACAGGCATGGTGAGAGAAGCATGTGAGGTAAGATACGATAAATGTCGTTCGTCACAGTTGACTGATGACACCCAAAGAACAGATGAGGAAGTCGCTAGGGGGCATAAGGATGGATCGTTTCGTAAGTCCATTGGATTAGGTACAGTGGGGTAAGTCAAATCTTATTTACTTAGTTGTGAAATCTCATCAGCATCGGAACTTTGTCTTTATTATTCTCTACATTGCAACTAACTGATCTTCGGAGTGAAAATGTGATGGCTGCTGGTATCTGGAAATCCTACTGCTCTGAAACAAGGGCACTCACTCAAATCTTTGGACATGCGAAGTCATATAGAACTGCCAACCGACAAGTAAGGGTGCAATCAATTGGCTAAACCTCCATCTACTGGACAGTACAAAATGCCTGGAAGCGTGGTAAAAGTGATGACTTCTACGCTGCAGTGGTTATGTAAGGCATCAGGGGGTATACCATATCATACAACATTGGTATAATGTCATTGAATGTCAGTCAGATAGTCAGTTAGAACGTAAAACTTCGTACGTATGTACGTACATCAGTTCAAGTTGCCATGCCGTAGTATTAGCACAGAGATGTAATTGTCAATTCAAATTCTATAGTGGTAGCGATAGTAGAAGTATTAGCAGTAATGGAGAAGATTACGATATGAAGATATGATTCAGTGAGATAACTTTAGAGAGAGAGAGAGAGAAGGACAAAGATCATGAGGAGTTCAGAAGATTAGAATTTCACAGAATTCGAAAAGTGAATGCACCTACGCCACTGTATACAATTTTGAACCATTCTGTTCAAGGTCTCTAACTATCGGTGACTTTAGTCTCGCGGACCCCAGCCACGTAGTCAGGGAGTGATTGTTCAACTGCGCATTTTGTTCGTGACAGGGGTCATATTAAATCAGTTACTGAAATCTCCTGGACAGACAGAGAGGTACAACGCGGAACTTCGTACATAAGTACATCAGTTCAGGTTGCCATACCACGTCAGCACAGAGAGGCAACTGTCAGTTCAAATCCAACAGTGATACCAATTATAGAAGTATTAGCAGTAATGGAGAAGATTAGGAAGCGAAGATATGATATGATTCGAGAAGTATAATTCAGTAAGATAAATTTAGAAGGAGGAAGATACAGATTATGAGGAATTCAGAAGCTTAGAATTTCATAGAACACAAAGAGTGGATGCACCTGCGCCATTGCAAACGCTTCTGAGCCATGTCGTTCAAGGTCTCTAACCATTGGTGACTTTTGTCTCGCGGACCCCAGCCACGTAGCCTACATCTACCGAAGTGACTCAGTCCACTTGTCAGTGACTTGATGGATTTCTGCCATGTTTTGGTCTGGCCGCCCTTATCTTTCGTCCAACCTACTCCTACACCACAAAACATCGCTCGTCGAGGCAGTCAGTGGTTGGACATTCATAACACATGTCCCAACCACCTCAACCGATGAAATTTCAATACTTCATCTATTGATCTGCCATGCCTACGCAGTACTCGTTTCCTAACTATAGCATTGTTTACCCGACGGCCATAGGATATACGAGCAATGCTTCGAATACATCTGTAGTCGAATATTAGTAACCTACTAATGCCATCTACTCTTACCAGCCATGTTTCGCATTGATATAGTAGGACAAAGCGAACTACTGCGCAGTAGAGTCGTCCTTTGGTTAGCAGATGGATATCTCGCCTACGCCATAAGTCACGAAACTTGGCGAAATCAATTCTAGCCTTCTGTAACCGTGATGAGATTAGCCGTAAAAGAAAAGATTAGGATTTAAAGATATTATTCAAGAAGTATAATTCAGTGATATAAATTTGAGAAGAGAAAGATGAAGGTCATGAGGAATTCTGAAGATTAGAATTTGACAGAACACAAGTAGTGGGTGCACCTGCGCCATTGCAAACAATTCTTGGCTATGTCGTCGTTCAAAGTCTCCCTCTCTTTTTGATTGCAAAATGAGAAATGATTATTCAAAGTAACTATTGGAATGATGTGAATTTATTCCCTAATGGCGTAGAAATAAATACAATAGATCATCATGAGTTCGAAACAGTTCGATCGTTAGCGATAAATCCCGTTCAGGATTCAATCCTATGATGAGATTGTAAGTACGCATTAATTAAAAGTCTCAGTCAGTCAGTCAGTCAGATGCAACGTAGAACTTTGTACATAAGTACATCAGTTCACGTTGCCATACCACAATCAGCACAGAGAAGTAATCGTCAATTCAAATCCAATAGTAGAAGAGGTAGTAAGGGAATTAGAAATAATCGGAGAGGTTAGGATTAGAAGATATTATTCAAGAAGTATGATTCAGTGAGATAAGTTTAGAGAGTCGAAACTAGAGGTGTTGAACAATCCAAAAAGATTAGCATTTGAGAGAACACAGAGAATAAATGCACCGGCGCCATTGCGAACGATTTTGAGCCATGTCATTCAAGGTCTCTAACCATCGATTATTATCATCTCGCGGACCCCAACCAGGTAGTCGACAATTACCAACATGGCTCAGTCCACTAGTCAATGACTTCATGGATTTCTGCCATGTTTTGGTTTGGCCGCCTCTAACTTTCTTCCAACCTATTCCTACACTACAAAACAAGGCTCGACGAGGCAGCCGGTGGTTGGGCATACGCAACACATGTCCCAACCACCTCAACTGGTGAAGTTTCAATACTTCGTCGATTGATCTGCCATTCTTACCTAGCACCCGATTCCTAATAACAGCGTTGCTCACTCGGGTGTCCCACGATATACGAGCAATGCTTCGAAGACACCTATGATCGAAAACCAGTAACCTACGAATATCTTCTACTCTCACTGGCCATGTTTCACAACCATAAAGTAAGACGGAGCGG